TGGTTTAGGTGATTAAACTTGCCTCAAAAAACAAATTCTAAATGGGAATTCTAAAGCGTTTTGAACGCTGCCAGGTCAGAGTTGTAAGGCTCCGGGTGTCCAGGGGAATCCTGGTAGGTCGCCCGGCTCGGTGGCCGCGTGGTTTTGGGTCCGGGAACTGACTCCGCCCGCAGCTCCCCCCGGGAGGGGCCCTGGAACCAGCCGGAAGCCCCTCCCGAGGCAAACGAACGAGGCTGAGCTCGGCCCCCTCCACCTTCTTGTCTCCAGGGAAACCCTGCTTTTCCAGGAACCGGGTTTTCAAGCTCGGGCTCGAGACCCGTTAGGATTGTGTGAAATCAAGCAGGGCGTCCTACTAGCGCTAAGGCAGGGAAGTCACGGAAACTCCCAGGCACGTGGGCGGGGCCGGCCACGTGGTGCGCGTAGTTGGTTCTTTGTGGGGTGGACCGCCCCGAGCTGTGCGGAAGCTCTGCCTGCAGCCCTGGGACCTCCTGCACCCGTGGCTGCCCGCCGCACTCTCCTGCCTGGAAGGCCGGCCCCCTCCTTCCTACCCCACTCAGCCATGCCCCCCGAGGTTTAAAATGTAGATAAGTCATTCAAAGCTCCCCCTGTGAATTTCCCTGTTTCTGGTTCTTCACCTCCCCTCTCCTTTAGAAAACTTGCACCAAGGCCACTCCAACCAGTTTCTCAGCAAGGTCCAGCTTTAATATCTCTCCCTCCTTCCACAACACCTGTGCTTCCAGCCTGCCTCAGTTACTAAATACAGGACATTCTTGGTCCTGTGGCCCTTGACAGCTGGGTGACATTCCACCACCAGCAGCATGCTGTTTCTCCCACCTGGACACCATTCCCTCTCACTCACGTATTTCCTTAGGGCCCCGTCTTACCCCCACTGGCCTTCCTGCCAGGCCCAATCCTGGTAAATAGGTTCTCAGAATGTGGGGCCCCCGGCATGAACTGTCCCTGCTCACCCTTTCAGTGGGCCGTCCCACCTCAGCTGTTTCACACCGGCTCGTTTTCTCCATCCAGCTTCGTCCACCTGCTCCCTCAGCTCTAACACATCTCCAAGTCCTGCAAATTGAGCTCTTAAACCCTTGTTGAACTTGTTCCAAAGTAGTCTTGCTGTTTGGGAAACCTGACCACTTCCCTCCTCCATTTGAAATCTCTGTGTCCCTCCACTAAGCTGGGACACTAGGCATGGACACTGGATCCAGGCGCCTTGGATTCAAATTCCAGCTCTTCCAATGCCTACCTGTGTGATCTGGGCACATCACTTTCTGCTTCCAGGAAACATCTAAAATGGGCATAAAAAAAAATCTTCACAGGGTCGTTATTAGGATTAAATGATGTACTGCCAATGGGTTTCAATCCCTGGCCAGTTCACTATGAATTCAGTGTGACCAAAGAAATGACAGTAGAACGTTCTTGGGGTGAAAGGGTTATACCCAACTTTATTTCCATGGTGGCAGGTCAATCACTAAAATCCTATCCACTCAAAGTGAGTCTGCCTGCAGCAAGCCAGGCTCTGCCTCTGGGCGCCTCTGTCCACACAGCCGTCCTCTGGGCCTCTGTCCTTGACGCTGCCACCACTCCAGCCTCTGCTCTGCTCTCCTGCAGCCTTGCAGCTGTGCCGTGTTGCCCAGAGCACCAGGTGGAGCTCTTTTATGTAGAGTCAATAATGATACTGCCCACACGTGTGTAGTGAGCTAGCCCACTAGGGCCCGATGAGAATCCTGGCCATAGGAACTTTCATATTATCCACAAATAAGCAGTCTGTTTTTGGAAATGGCCCAGATCAGGGCCTGATGCACAGTAATCATTATATACATGTTTATTAATGTAGTAACTCCAATTTTCCTTTTGATTTCTTCTTTGACCCCTGGGTCACTTACAAATGCATTAGTTTCCAAATATTTGGAGGTCTGATTTCTAAGACACCTAATTCCCTGTGGCCAGACAACATACTTTGCATGATTTGAATCCTTTCAAAGGTATTGAGACTTGGTTTTGGCCCAGAACACAGTCTGTCTTGGTAGATGTTCCATATGCAAAATAATTACGCTGAGGGAAAGATGCCAGTCATTTATACAATTTTGGAAAACAAATTATAATGACCAAAAGCTGATTAGGGTGGTGCTGAGAGGAGGTGTTCACTCTCCACTTCAAACGTGAGTTTATTACATGTCAATTTTACCCCATAAAGTTGTTTAAATTGATACTGTTTAGCAAAGCCTAAAAGAAATGTTCAGAGTCAAGTTACAATTACATAGGAAAATTCAGTGATTCATACTTTAGAAAGAGGCAGTCGATCCGGGGAGGATGGTGTCAAAGCACAGGTCTGCAGCTGGACTGTGAGCCTTGTCCCTGATGCAACTGACTGTGTGACTTTGAGCAAGCTGCTCAACCTGTCTGTCCTTCAGACTCTCAACTCTACATAGGTACAATCCTAAGGATATGGAAGGATGCTGCTGCGAGCTGATCCCAGGGAAGCCCCTAGTGCCTGGCGTGCAGTGTGTGCTCGGACGATGAATGTGCCGTTCTCTTCATAGAGAACGGGGAGACAGGGTGACCCGTGCTGGCAGCCATCCAACCACCATGATGCTGTCCTGTGCTTGTGGCCACCCGCTGGGTTTGCCCACTAAAAAATAAAGGTGCCAGACCATGTAAGAACTTGTTCGTTATGCTTCAGAAGATTGGAGACTGTTGGGAGTTAGGCTTGGGGTTGATTAATGATTGTGCATTGAGTCCCCTATACAGAATTTTATTGTTGTTAACAACCATTTGATCAATAAATATGAGAGATGCCCTCTCAAAAAAAATAAATAAATAAAAATGAAGGTGCCAAAGGAAGGGATGAACTGTGCAAGCTAGGGAAGGTGATGTGATGTGGCCGTACTCTTTTCTGGCCATGTGTGTTTTAGAGTTGTCCCTAAAGTGGGATTCCACAAAGTGAACCACTTTCCCCATTGGCTGTAAACATTACCAAAAGTGTTCTTCACTTGAAAGTTTTAAGCCATCCGTCAAGGCCCAGTGGGTAGCCACACCTGGAGTTTGGAATGGTACTGCTCACTTCCCTGTCAACACATGCTGTCAGCAGATGGGGGCACAGCACACAGTCCCTTCCCACTCCTCTCCGGCTGTTGTCAGCACCTAGTGTGGCTGAAAAACGTTTGGCCATTTTGATAGGTCAAGCAGTGTCCTGTTGGTTAGTGAGCAGCCATTCATTTGATGCCTGTTGACTCAAAGCCCATGTCCAGGCCTTGGGACACAGTCAGTGTAAAGCTGGGCTGCTGCCTCATGGTGGAGACAGCTGTGAAGCCACTCCACGTACATGCACGGATTTATACCCTGAGGAGTGCTGGGAGGTGTGGGGGCACAACTCCGCTTGGGTCTCCTGGAGGCCTGAGAGCTGAGGAAAACCCGTGTTAGCTGCTGGGGGCACGGGAAGGGCATCCCAGAGACGGAATGGTGTCTGCAAAGGTAAATGTAGAAGGAATGCTGGGAGCCACAGGGGAGTGTGAGAAGGCAGGGCTGGAAAGGAAAGGAGGCTGGGAAATCCCATCTGTGAGACGGGCAGGTGGAGGGACACAGCCTGCCTGTGGGTGGCAGGGAAGAGTGAGAGGGGGGCCAGGTGCCAGGTCCTGCAGTGTGCTGGGCCAGGGGCCTCGGAATGTGGCCCAAGGGTCACTGAAGGCATCAGAGGCCATCCCGGGGCCCCGGTTAGCCCTGCCTCCATCCACTCTGACAGTGGTGTGGGTGAAGGTGGGGACCAGTGAGGCCCTGTGCCCAGAGCTGGCGGGCAGGGAGGGGCAGGCTTGGGAGAGACCAAGGACCAGGCGACAGGCCAGTGAGGTGAAGGAGTCCACAGGATCCTGGGGCGGGGAGGGGCGCACTGCAGTCGCTGTGGGAGCCCCAGGGGAGGGCGCTGTGAACTGGCTGCCTGGGAAGGCGTTGCACTGGGGCTCGGGTGGCCTCCTCTCACCATCCCCTAGGCCACCTTAGCCTCACTGGCAGAAGCCCCAGTCGGAGTCGGGCAGTGGATGGGGGTGTGTTAGCCCCCCCAGGAAACACATAGAGCTGGACGAATGTCGGCACCCCCTCAGGAGCTTGCATAGCTTGCATTCAGGTTGGGGGGGCAGACCATAAACAGAGAACAAGGAGGTGCGTGGGTCCCGGCCCAAAGAACCAGCAGTCCTGGACAGACTCGAACTTCTTCCCGGAAGCACCACCACTTTCCGTTGAACTCACCTTCAAACCTT